TTGACATCTTTTTAATTACAAAAATTTTATTTTACTGCCAATTGATAATTCTCTAACCTTATAGCTTTAACTGGTGCAATATTATGTTTTGATTATTTAAATTTTTTAATATAGCAAAAAAATATATGAGAAATTTATGAAAGATAATTTATAAATCATGAGAAATTAAAAATCACAAAAATAATTACATATTTATATATTTATTAATTGTATATAGTAAAAAGAGATAAAATAAAAAAAAATACTAAACGTGAATTTTATGTTTGTCATAATAAATTTATACCATTAAAAATAGAAATAGAAATTTTTTTTTTTTTTTTTTTTTATCAATAAAAAAAAAATACTAAACGTGAATTTTAATGTTTGTCATAATAAATTTATAGCCATTAAAATAATAGAAATTTTTTTTTTTTTTTTTTTTTTGATTTTTTTTTTTTTTTTTTTTGAGAATAATAGAAATAGAACTTTGAAAGCACAATGTAAAATAAAAATAAAAATAAAAATATATCAAATGAAATAAATTTAATAGCTTTAATAATCATTTTTTTTCTTGATTATACAATTAAAATATTTTACCTTAAATCCTAAAAGGCTGCAACACAAATAGCATCTGAAATAATCAAATATCCAACTATTTATAATTTTTTGAAAAAAATTTATTTGTTCAATATAGCTTTTACATGTTGTACCATTCATTCTATCATATTTATTTAAAAAGTGTAAATATAATTTTTCATTTTTTCTACTATATTTTTATTATTTTTTAAAAAATAAGATTCGGCGCATTGTGCTAGATAACACGTTCATTTTTACTGAATCGATACTACCATTTGAATTTAATTTTTGAGTTAACATATGCAGTGGTATAAAATATTAATTTCATTTACTTCATCACGCTAACGCAGAATATATACGAAAAGACCGTCTTTTTCAAAGTTTCAGTAGCAATTAACAATACCGATTTTGGATTATTAGAAGAGTTTAAAAAGAGAAAATCTAGATTGTTAGGATAAACGATTTTGTTTCTTTTTAAAAAAAAAATGAAATTCTTTCTCACGGGTTGTTATTTACTGGAAAATCGTAATTTGGCTTTTGTGGTGAGGATGAATTTAGGACACATTAGCTGAGTTGGCATAAAGCCTTACGCACCACTCTTTACAAACAGGGAATCATTATCTTCTTCCACTCTAAAGTGGAAATTTTGAAATGAAAGGACAATTGACACCTATAAAATAATAACAACTGAAAGGCAAATTCTTTCCTTGTACTGTTGGCAGTCCCATTCACATAACGAGAGAGAGAGAGAGAGAGAGAGCTTAAGCCACTTCGGGTTAGTACATATAGATCCCTTGTTGGGCAGTCCACTCACTCGTGCGCTTTCTGCTTCTTCGAATAAATAAATAAATAAATAATTTTAAAATATATATATTTGCTTGCCTCATATAGGAGCCAGGTAGCAGTCAGCATTACTTAGTTTCTAGAAAAAAATAAATCAAATTGACTTATTTTAATTAAATTCGAAAAATTGTTTTAGAAATTTTGTTATGAATTGTGATGTCTATTAAATGATGGAAATCACCAATCACATATCAATCATAAGGATTTATAAGTTTCTAAGTTAAAAAGAAGCTTAAAAGAAGATGCAAGACTAATTAACATGATCTAAACATTTGAGCCTTGAATATTGTATTTAATTTTATGTTTTAATTTGTATAATTGAATCTATTTAAGTTGGGCTTTAAGTTTTATTCAGTTTTGACTTCCTTAGCTTATAAAGACTTAGCTTTCAAGTAGCATATAAAGTCTTGTTTTTAAATTCATCAAAGATAATTAATATTTGTAGCGTTTATTTTTTTCACCTTGATATTTTTAGTTTGTACCTTCTGATTAGGTATTGAGTTAGGATCCGTTTTTCCATCCAAGAAAAAAAATTCTAATTTGAAATTTAGACTCCATTTATTTCCGTAAAATAACTTGCAGGAAAATATTTTTCAAATTTTTTCTTTGTTTGGGGCGTTCGGAAAAATAAGTCAATAATAAATATTTTCCTGATCAAAGAAAAATTAAATCACTTTTTAAGGAAAACCACTTTCCATTTTTCGAGAGAGTAAAAATATTTTTCAGACATCGGCAAACTTTATAAATCCATATTTTTTAATTTATTAATCATTATAATCACTACCATTAGTTACCATTTATCACCGACCACCGACTATCACCATCGGCCACCACCATCGGCCACCGGTGGCTTCATAATTTACATTTTTTTTTTTGCATCCTTTTCATATTTAAGAATGAAAATTTTAAATTATAAAATTTCTATTATTATTAATATTTTTTATAGTCTTATTAAATATTTTCCTGGAAGTCCTAAAGTAAAAATTGTTAGAAAATCGAACTTTTTTTAAGGAAACACACTTTTTACTCCATTTTTTTCTACCGAGAGAGTTTAATAAAGATATTTTGTTTGCAGACGATTCGGCAAACTTTATATAATCCATATGTTTTATTTAAAAAATTTTATTTAAATTTAAGTCATTATATAAAAATCTACATTACCATTTTAGGTTACTCATTTATCATCCGACCATCGGTACTATCACCCATCGGCCATGCCACCCCTCATTCGTGTCCCGGTCGTGGCTTTTCAATATAATTTATACAAATGGTTTTTTTTTTGCTATCCTTTTTATCCTATAGTTTAAGGGAATGAACAATTTTAAATTATTTACTAAATATTCATTATTTATATATTAAAAGTTATTTTTTTATTAGTCTATGAAGGTACTAGATAAACGTTTAGTCATATTCTTTTAATTAAAATGTATTTAATTTGGTTATTACAATTATTTCAACTAACAGAACTAGAGATATTTAAGGTCAATGTGGAATAAATAATTTTTTAATAAATTATTTTTTTCCTATATGTTATAAAATATATAATTATGATATATCTATTAAATTATTTTGCTGTCATTTTGGAAATAAATCAGTTAAAATTGCTAACGTGTAATCTTAAATAAATTCAAATTTTTGTAGTTTTATCTGTTATATATAGTGAATGTAAGTTCAAAGGTGTTACCCATTCTGTTTTAAGTGTGTCGCAATATTAATTAGAAGTAATTAAGAAAAAAAACTCAAGCATCTAAATAAGTATTATAGCCTTAGCATTAGCGAGAAAGGTTCTACTCCTCAATAGTGCCATTTATTGAACAGAACAACAATAAGAGAAAACCTTTACCCAGTATTCTCAATTCCTCACTATAGTTATAATTCATATTCTCATCCAGGAGCGTCTAGCCTCTTTGCACATTAGTGATAGTGAAACTTGGATAGCTCCTTTGGGTCCGGACCCATGCTGAGCTCTCGCAACATTCAGAGATCCTGAAACATAACGATTTGGCTTACAGCGTCTTAAGCTACAAAATTTCTATTATTATTAATATTTTTTATAGTCTTATGAGATAAAAACTTTAATATTTTTAATTAATTTTTAATATTACAATTAAATAACAGAAAATAAGTCAAGTGAAAAATATTTTTAAATATTTTTTATAAAAATATTTTATAATAAATTATTTTATGAAAATAAACGTAACTGTACGGTTATATATCAAATTTAGTTTCGTTGTGTCAAGGTCCCATTCTTTTAAGTTTCGCATATTATTAAGTATAGAAAAACTCAGCTCTAAAAGTTAGCTTGTAGAGTGAGGCTACTCCTCAACTTATTGACACCAAGGACCCTTTCCAGCCAACCAATATAGTATATCCTCGAGCAGGCCTTGCACGAGTGATAGGAAACTTGGAAGCCCTTGGGTCCGACCCACTGAGCCCGCAATCAACCTAACTAGATTTGGCTTTGATACCAATTAGGTATGAGAAATCGAACTCATCTCCAAAAGCTAGCTCGTTGAGTAAGATCTTCACCGCAACTTATTAACACCAAGGACCTTCCTAGCTAATCTTTGTTGGATTTGCACAATATCGGTTTGGATATAGAATACTATTTTATTTTTGATTTTTAATCGGTTATTATATATATAACTAATCAAATATTTATTTTTAAATTTAAAATAACTAATTTGTTTTGAAATAACTAAATTTAAATCAAATTAAACTAATTTAATTCGGTTTGGATCAATTTTTATATATATCATTCGATTCTAAATTTGGTTACTGTAAAATATATTCAGATAAGCAGAAAATAAGATAATTCAATTTGGTTTGGTTTAGTGAACTGAATGCTCATCCCTTAAGCCAAACTATATTATTCCAAATCGATACTGATTAAGAATGGACATAGTTCCAAGTTATAATCTCTTAGATGTATGATCTAACCAACTAAATTGGTTAAATTTTCATTACTTTCAACATTAGTTATGTTTTAAAAGCAAATTTAATTCAAATAAAAAAAATCCTATTGGTTGCTAAATTGTTTCAATTAATTTCAATCAATTTTAAACCAGTTTGTATCATTTACAAGAGATTAAAACTCAATTTCTCTAAAGAAAAATAAGCTGGAAAGTTGTGACTTATAGGAAACCGCAATTCATAAACTCTAGAACAAAATTAGCTAGTACTTTGCAAAGGTGTGACTAAAAAAATAAAAACTAGGATCGGTGTAAAGCCCAATATGAACTCATAGTTCTAAACTAATTTGATTATTAGAACCGTCAATCTTGTGTTTGTTTCACTGGTGGTCGGATCTAGTCTCAAAGAATAGAATACATTCAAAGTGATTCTTGCAATAATCACAATAAAAATTTAGAAATAAATTGGTGTAATTATACTTTGATGATCATCTCAACAAAAGGGTTGTAATAAAAATTTAGGCCAAAGAAATCAAAGGAGCAGCACTGGTCTATATTATAATTAATTTATAATAGTACAATAAAAAGAAGCATAAACATTAATAATATTAAACAGGAAAAAAATAAAAGGCAAAATGCAAACATCAGGGTAATCATTGCAATCATATCACTTACCAAACCTAATTTCCAAACTATTCTCTCTTTTACTTCTTTTTCAACCTTCTTCTCACCTTTTCCCTCCTTTTTGTTCCTTCTCTTGCTTGCACTGCCCTCTACTCTCCCCCCATGTCTTCTTTCTCAACTCTTCCTCTCTCTGTCCCTGTCTCTCTCCCAACTTTGCCTTTATCCATTTATATTATTTGTCTATATATATTGTATATATCCTTATACAAGACAAAAGCTTCGACAAGATCTTTGATGCCTCTGTAAATTAAGATATATAGTTGTTGATCCAGTGAAGAAGAAAGAAGAAGGTGGAGGAAGAGAAGGTTTGAAGACTCTCAAGGCACATGGGAAGCAGAGTTATCTATTCTTTCATATTTTTCCTATTTGGTCTGTTCCAATCTTTAGGTTATTAGTGCTTGTTCTTTCTTGCTTGTTTTGCTCATATGATTCTCACGGTTCATTCTTGTCTTGGTTTTGCAATTCTGTGGGGAATTTTTATATTTTCCTATTTTATATGTGGCTAGTTATTTGAATTCAAAATTACTTTTTCAAACTTTACATGTCGGACCTGGAATTTCATTGCTTTTTCCATGTGGGTATGCTCATTTTTTCTGAAATGATAGTTCTTTCCCTAAACAGGATTCTTTTTTATTTAGTTAATGTCAAATGGGTTTTCAAACTTTTAGTGATGCTTCTTCTTCAATTTCAGACCTTTTCCTTTTCTTTCCACTTTCCCCTTCAATCAAGAAATAAATCTGTTCTCTGATTAGATCTTGATTTGCTGAATTCAGGTACAAGTATTATACAGAGGGTAGTAGTAGTTGGACATTATGCCAAAGTAGAGCATGATCTCATTTCTGTATCCAATACACAAAAGGATATTACCACTCCCATAACAACAGTGCCAACAATCATTCCGACCAATCCAACTACATCAACTCCAATCGTAAACCCGAATTCAGACCCAGATTCTTCATCGCCGGCGACCATGACGCCGATGATAACTCCGGCAACAACATCTAATTCACCTTCATCTCCTGGAGCTAGCTGGTGTATCGCTAGCCCAAGTGCATCACCTACTGCATTACAGGTGGCTTTGGACTATGCTTGTGGTTATGGCGGCGCAAATTGTTTGGCAATTCAGCCTGACGGGAGTTGTTATAATCCCAATAATCTTCGCGACCATGCTTCTTATGCGTTCAACAACTATTACCAGAAGAATCCAATACCAAGTAGCTGCAATTTTGGAGGAACTGCCGTTACTACTAACACTGATCCAAGTGAGTAAAATTCAATAATTGTTCGATTTAGATTCCTTTTATGTTTTTGCAAATATCGGTTGCGCTCCGCAAAACCTTTAAACTTTGTAACACAGTCGTTCTATGAAAAAAAGCGTATACCTTCTCAACTGCCTCCTATCTTTTCAAACAACTAAAAACCATCAGAACAGCCACAAATTATTAAAACAATTAATTTTTAATTATTAAAACAATTAATTTTATCTTATTTACCTAATTTGAGAAATCTATTAATTGTTTGGATTGATAAAATCCAGTCATAAAATTTAAACATTTGAAGGATTTCTTAATCTTTTATTTTTTGAAATTCAAACATTTTACATTTCATGAAACATTTCCACAGTAATTAAAGTTAATTTATATAATTTATGGTACTTTTTTCAATTACATTTTTTTGTTTTTTGAAAATTTTTGTTCCAATTACCTAAGTTAAAAATTTTAAATAAAAGCAAATATTTTTTTCATATTAACTAATGAAAAAATATCAACTTGTTAATTTAGTATCTGAACATTAACTAGACCCTTTAACTTTAAAAATTTAATTAATTGAGAAATTAATTTAGTTGGAAATATTTTGTCAAATTTATGAGATTTGAGAATCCAATTAACTCCAACACAACGAATGAAGATTGTATTAGAATTTTAACTTGTGAATTTTTAGGAAGTAATGCTAAAATTTTAATGAAAATAAGAGCATCTAAAATGATTTGAATATAGGCAAAAAGTAAGTAAATGGGTCCACTCTCAATACAAGTCCAACCAAAGACACAGATATGAGGTCTGTTATCCCCACTTCTAGAAAAATTATTGTTTTTTGAATTATGATTGCTGTTAGGAGGTGACTAGGGGTATGCAAATCAACCGACGGAACTGAATCCACAGTTTGGTCAAACTGCTCAGGAAAGTTCGGTTTGAATCGAAAGTACTATTTCTTTTCTGTTTATAGAAATTAATTGTTTAAATTTAAAATCGAATTGACACGGTAAAAATCGATTAAAATCAAATTGATTCATTTTAGATACCAATTTCAATTCAATTTGATTTCACTTCTAAAAATTTCATCAATTTTACATTTTTTATTTTGATTTAATTCGGTTTGAACCAAACCAACCATACGTTGACTTGTACTTCTCCAGATTAGCTTAAAGTTTGTTACTTTACTTTGAGTTTATTATGGTTAAGTTTTAACTTATCTCAATTCATTTTCAATAAATATTTTACAGGTAGTGGGACATGCCAGTATCCATCCACTAGGTAAAAATTACTATAAAACTGTCCTCTCATAATTACTGTTTCTACCATTGCTGAATTTGATGCTTAATTTATTAGAAGATTTTCAATTTAATTTAAAATTAATTTTATATCAATTTAATTAGAAAATAAATTTTGAGTTTATAAATTTTTTTTGAACATTTGATATCCGAAATCGAATGGTTCAACTAATCTGGATTTACACTGACTCATAAAAGAGTAAAGTACTCCCTTTTAAGTATTTAAAGAGACTTCATACTGAGGTTTCAAATTTGAGACTTTTAGTTAAGGAAAAATAGACCTATGTTATCACATTTCATCCCTAAAAAATAACTTTGAGTTTATAACTAACATATGTTGTTTTTAATAAAAAAAAATAAAAAATATTCTACAAATTTAAAATATTTTTAAAATAAAAAATATCTAATGATTTAAAAATAAAAATGAAATGAAATAAGAATATAAATATTTTTATTTTCGAAGAGTGAAATGGAATGACAAGAATCCATTCTCTATTAACCAAGAGAAAACGGAAATAAAAATACATTGTCTTTAATGGTGACATTTTAAAGTATTTAGTAATTTCACATTTTTTTAACTATTTTGTTTCTTAGAACTAAAGAGAACTGATTTTTTTAAAACTTAGTTAAATTGAGAATAAAATCAAAATTTATGTCCTGAATTGATCTAAACATTAATTTTAAACAAAATTGAAAACAAAATGAAAATTTAGCCTTTGTTATATTACTTAATTTAAAGGAGCCTTATTTGTTGGGTACACAGCACAAGCTCATCAGTTTTGAACACCACCAACTCAAATGGCGCAACGGTCTATGGAGCGGTACCTTCAAGCCCTTCTGCACCGACTGCTGCCTCTGCTGCCAAAATTAATAACATGAATTTCATGGTGCTGACGTGTCTTGTTATTGCGCTGCTGGCCAAACATTTTCTCTAATTGATTTGTTTGATTTTCTATAATTAAACAGCAATTTCCTCAATTGCCCTTTGCTCAGAGACTTTAAGCTTGTAGGCTTTAGCCTTAGGCTAGCTAGAAGTTGATTACTTTACTTTGAGAGTAGAGTTAGTGTTAGTAGGCAAAAAATACCTAGGTCTTTTTGTTAGTCTTAAAGCTTCAATGTAAATTTTCTCTCACAGCAGTTCAATTTTGTATGGGTATGAACCGATGAGAATGCTAGCTTGTTTTGAGATTTTGAGTCTGTTCAGTAATTTTAGCGGTTCTAGTAGATATTAACTGTTATAGTGGCCGTCAGCTATTTTACTGTTAGATATTAGTTGTTTATATAACGGTTTAAAATAGAAGTGTTCGGTAAAAATAAATGTTTGATTAGCTGTTTAATATAGAAAAATAAAAAAAAAGGTAAAGTCATAGAGAATAAAACAAAGACAAGTGATCGACATAGGCGTCATAAAAAAATTATAAAATGCTAAATGTTAATGATGACGACGTTTCATGAAACAATATGTCAAACTCTAAACGTTAGGATAAATGTGACATTACCGAATATAATAATTAATTAAAACAGTGTTTTAATTCAATCAAAATACTAAATTCTACTCCAAACACTCTTGTTGAACAGAGCCTTTCTACTTAGGGGATGAAAATTCCATTGCTTCAATCTATCTATCTATATAAATATATAAAAGCTGAATCCTATTTGATGATGGCAAAATTTTTAAAAATATAATTTCTTACGTGACTTTTTGTTAATTCTTAAATTTTTCATTATTTTTTATTTTATTATCTAATTTGAAGAAATTAAAATAAAAACACCTTCATTTTTTTCCGATAATTTATAACCATATGATATGATAAATTTATTACATTATTGGATTAATAAAAAAAATTTAAACTTCTTTTCAATAATTAATGAACCAAACACTTTCAAGAAAAATAATTAATAAACCAATCAAAAAAACTTATTGTATTAATGATGAAAGTCTTTAATTTCTTTTTTTAATAATTATTAATTGATAATAAATTCATTGCATTCATCAATTGTTTAATTTAATTATATATATTCTCAATTTCCCTCACTCACAACATGTTGTGACATATGGTTGTTAAAAAGTAATACTATTTAATTTTTTTTAAAAAAATAAAATTATATATTTCACACATCGAGCGAGTATTTGATTAGTTTGATATAAATTATTAATAAAGAAAGTTAAACTTAACCGAAATTATTTACAGAATTAAATTAAACAAATTATTATGAAATTAGTGGATATCTCAAGTAAGTTAGAAGTATGTATTCATTATTAGTCTACAAGTCTATTTAATGTAAAAGTTTATTCCCCTTTTATGTAATACTCATGTGCCTATATATATGTGTGGCTTCTCAATAAAGATGACTTTCATATTTTGCTCTATATTTCTTCTTTTTATTTTCTTTAATTTTATATTATTTTATATCACATTATCAGAACGATTTGATTCTTACCACTTTACTTGCAAAGTTAAGATTCGAATACTTTCAATTTGTTTCCCTTGATTAAGAGGTAGGTCTTGATACTGACTTGAGAATTTTATTATTATTAATCATAAGTTATTTTTTAATGCAACTTATTTTTTAATGCTTAAAATGATGAACAGTTATTGATGGTATATAATTAAAACTTGGATGAAATCAGTATATTAATCACCAACTGATTTTCAATTAAGAAAAAAATGGTTGTCGTTTTCTTCACTAAGTTTTAAAGATAGATTGTTTATACACAATGACGGAGCCAGAAATTAAAATTAGATGGAGCTAAAATATTTTTAAGAGTTAAAAAGGGTGAAATTGAAAAGATTTATTATTTTAGAGGGAAAAAAATAAAAACATTTAATATTTTATGATTAATTTAAAAAAAAAAATTGTTAGGGGAGCGAGGCCAGCCATGTCTGTACAAAGCTTTATTGTAATTCAAAAGCTTTATTTTTCTATAATATTAAATATACTTATAACATATATTCTGACAACTTTTGTTTTAAATATATAACGATTCAATATGTACTTTCTTTTACACATCTTGTGTTACTCTACATATTAAATGTTGGATGCATATTTTCGTAAATAACGTTTTAATATATTTTGTTTTATTCTAAATATTTGAGATCTAAATTAAATGTCTTGAATTATAATTATAATAATACATTAATTATATGGTATCCTATTTTGATTGAATTATTTCATAATATTATTATCTAATATAATTATTTTATTGTTATCGTAACATCCCTTTCCGGTCCACCCGTTAACCCGAATGAAAATCGCTGGTTAGAGAACATAGAAAGTGAAGAATTTTGGAAGGGGTTGACCTAAATTCCCCTCTCCTTCCAGAATTCATTTAAGAATAAACAAAATGTAGAAAAAAACGGTAAAAATAATAAAATTACTATATATGTTTCTTTTTCAAAAAACATTTGTGGGACCACTATATTTGAGATGGTTTTATTAAAGTATACATGTATTTCAAAATTTCAATTTTTTAAGAAGTTCAATTAGTAAAAACTAGTTTTTTTATGTATATATATCAGGGAAAATCCTCAATAGACGTAACCTCTTGGTTAACTTTACTCATTGATTAACAAATAAGTATGTAAGTTATATACACACTTGGTAAAACGTGCAATAACATATATACAAAATCCTTACACTATTTAATTTGGTTACATGCTGAAATATATGAGAAATTCACATTAATTTTAAGAACCAAATAGAGTTGAACAAACAAACCATAAAAAATTCAAACATTTTAGTATAGAACCACCTCAAGATTATTTGCTCTACTATATCGGATATCTCGCTAAAATTCTAAAAATATATGTTAAAAGGTGGTAAGATCCTTATATAAGTATTATCTGTTGCGGTTATTAACAATTCCACGACAGGGAGTAAAAAAAGCTTCATCAAGTTTTTTGAACACCCTTATAATCCTGTTGAACCCACATTACTAAATAAATCGCAAACACTAGGATCCGAAGACCCTTAAACGTGGATGTATGAGCGGTACTTTCTAAAAGCTCACCATTCTTCCTCAGCCACATACACGCACTATGCACGCTTCAACTATCATATGACTCTGAAATGTTTGAGTGAAATTAATAAATAACAAGCAGAATGTATAAATAGTTTAGTCTTAAATGGTTAAGAGGCTGAAGGATAATAAGGATATCACTTATGTTATTGCGATCTGGCTGAGGCTTTCACAATAAAAGAAAGTCATTTCTTATTAAAATTTCTCTAAATAGAAATTGAAATTATTTTTGGTATATTGAATTTGAATTATATACATAAAAATGATATTTAAACTAGAACAAAAAATTCTTATATCCCTTTTGAAGTAATTCCACAATATCATATTGCCTAATATTTTTAGATTATTAATAACTACAGATTAAGACACAACATAAATTTTGAAATTAGCAAATTCTTGTTTTTGGATTTTGGTAAGTCCTATTATAACTATGTGCTAAAAGAAAAAGGCATCTACGCAATGTTTGAGAATTAAAGACTACCTTTACATTTGTCACGATATATACAATAGATTAATAGTGGTTAAGGTGGACGAATAAAATGATAACAGGGGGTAATTTTTTTGGGGGGTTTTGAAGTTATGTTAGATATACAATGTATGTTATCAAATAATTTACAACCAAATGTCTTGCCATTTAATACCGACCACGTTAAATTATATTCAGATAAGAAATGGGTTTAAATAAAAGAACTAAAATAGTCAAGAAATTATGAATGGCTATAGAGTTATATGTGGCTTTGTCTCATTGAGAATATAATATTTGCTGAGCAATTCCCTTGGTGATACAAAGTGATAATAAATTAATAAATAGAGCCGGTTTGATTGAATACAAAGATTAGATAATTTCATTGTAAAAACTTGTTAATGACTAGTTTAATTTGGTTGTGTCACGATATACACAAATTCTTTTTAAAATGAGTTAATGTGTGAACATGTTAAATTTTGGAAGAAAATTTAGAACCTTTCTTGTTTCTAATGATCAGTAAATAGGTAAAGAGAAATTAACATCAGCTAATTTATGAGGTGAGGAATAAATTTCGTTTAAACACCAATAATGTTTCATAAATTTTTCACGAAACCTTCAGTTTTCTAAAAATGATTTGTAAATATCACTAATGATAAAAGTACAACACATAATTAGATAATATTAGGTTAGAATATAAGTCTAGAAGTTCGTAAAACAATAAAACATACGGAAAGGTTGAGCTCATCGTAGAACAATTTCACCTGCAAGAGCGACTGCTTACAAATTAAAATATATTATAATACTAACAACTTGTTATGATGAAGTAGAGTATATAAATTACATATGGTCACATCAAATAAATTCTGAACCATGCTTAGTACCGGTTGGATACAATTGTGGACATTCCGAAATATGAAATCAATCCGATACTTACACAAGCACAGATGGTTTATGTTTAATAACAATTTCTGAAAATTAAATCATTAAAATACTAATCACAAATAGAATGATAATATAGCTTAAACTAAAGGCTCTGTCACCGAGTGACACTACGAGCCTTTCTTACTTAAAGGGAGGATTAATATAAATGATTCAACTCTAAAATTACTTATATCCATTTCTTTCTATTCTCTATTACTATTTAATTATTAATAGTACCAAACCGATGCATATTCATTTATGGGAAGATTGAGTAGGCATAATAAAATTGTGTACTTTTTCTGAATATAAAAATTACTAATATTTCTTGAGGTGTTTTTGTTAATTCTTAATATTTTTTTTGTTCAGATCTATATCATATGTACTATTGTTAGCTTTGGCTAAATTTAAATGCGTTATAAAACTTCAATTGACATATGATTTATATTAATACAGAACTATGAGCTTATCATGGCATTGTAAATAATTATATGTCTTTCGGCCCGAATTATTCAACAGGTCAACTTACAAATGGTGTTGAGTATTGATACGGTGTTATTTATTTACACCTTATTATTTCGGTTAATTAAACACTATTTTCTTGATCCTAATTTCAATAAATTTAGAAATCTTTTTAAATTTCGGAAAAATCTTAGTTAAAACTGATCAGAAACAGGCCTGAACCTATTTATCATAAGTTATTGTAAATAATCATTAGAAAAAATAAGCTGTGAAGTTATAATTCAAGATGTAGATTTATCGTATTTATCACTTTTGATGGAAATAGTCTTCCAACTT